AGTCCAATAGAAAAAAAAGCTATTGAAACTTGCATGATTTCCTCAGATCCTTACAGAATTGCTATAAGAACTTCTCACCTGTGTTGCTATTAAGCTTATATAGCTACTTGTTCATAACACGTGTAACATCGCTTCAATGTTACATGGAAAATTGGAAAAGCTTGAGTAAAAACTGAGTAAAAGTTGATTAAAAATCTGACAGATTTTGGCTATACATTTCTAGTGTGGAGTCTGAAGCATTTAGTACTGATGTTTCTCTCCTTTGAATACTATGGGATTGCTCTCTGTTTTTTCTGTATTTAGGAGAACTACTCTCTTTTAAACTCTTGCCACAGTTAACAGAGACCTATTTCCTGCATCCTCTAGTTGATTCATCTTCCTATTGTCAAGGTGTGACACAGTTGACAAACAACATCTTACTGTCAGGAGCTGAGACGACAGTGCTGCCACGAGTGATGCCATTAACTGATGGCCTGTCATACCAAAAACTTCACCATGTCTGATGGCCACAAGTTACATACTGTGTGTCTTACTAGAGACACACTAGAACTAGCAGCAGCTCACAATCAAAAAGTAACTTTTCTCAAGGGTTTTATTCCAAAGCAGTATGAGGTCATTGGATGGACTTGGGTGGCAGCCACAATCTGGCACCTTCAGCCACCCTGTGACTCCACATTAACCACATCTGCTATTATGAAGGACAGCTGTGACTAGTTAGAGCTCTGGGAAGAACGTGTGGATTAACAGGTTTTCTGAGGGTTTTTTTAGTAGATACACAGCTCTTCTCCTAAGCTGCTACAAAGGGTATTGCAATTACATCTTGTTTTGGCCCAGAATTGGGGATTTATTTTTTTTTTGTACTTACCCTGGTTAGCATTATCTCTGCCACTTTTTTGCTTAAAATCAGACTGTTTTTATACTTGATGTTAAACTGCACTTCCAGTTAGTTTAGAAATTTGAGTATGCCATGCTTCAAAGTTACTTTTTGTGTCATGGCTTTTGCCATGTGCTGCATGCTTGTGGGGTTTTTGACTGTCTCCGCTCAAATGTCATTATTTTGAATAACTGAGAGACTCAGTTGAAATTCTAGTAGTAGCCTTTGTAGTAGTGCACTCTTCTTGTAGAAGTTTTATTTCTGATGAGAGTTTTAACTAGGCAATGCCTTTTTATACAGAAGTCAATTGAAGAACAGAAGTATGACCTCTTTCTTTCCTGTTGTTGATTATAATTATAGCAGAGAGGGTATGAGCAAAGTAGACTTGAACAGGAAGAGTAATCAGAAAGTGATGGTCAGAAGCCTCCGTTTCGTGTTCTGGAGTTAAGCATAGGTTTCTGCCCTTTAATTCTTCCTTAAGGTCTGCTGTCTCAAGCGTGCTAACGAGGTATCCCTTTCAACTCCTTCAATCCCATCTGCCCCAAGTCCCTGAGACTCAGTTTCTCATTCTCACTTAATCGCCTGCATTGCATGAAGCAGGTGCTACCCACACAACTTCTGCCTGATGTTTCCATCACACTGCTTTTTTTTTTTTTTAACCTAGTGCTGCCAGTTCTCAGAGACACTCCATACTTCTTCTGACTCCTGTTCCAGCTCAAAAGCTGCATTGTATATCTGGTTTTGTCTGCACGTGCTTGTGATGTCCGTTCTCTTCCCAGTCATTGCCACATTGTACAAAGTTTGTCTCCCTTATGTGGGACTTGCGTGTGTGTTTGCACGTGTATGTTATACAGTTGCTGCTTTATTATGCTATAACTAACAGGTTATGTTTTGATGTTTGCGTATCTGTGTGCACATCTGCCATTCAGGATGAAGAATGCTTGTTTATGCAATTTGAGTTTATTTTCGTTTTAAGAGATTTGAAAATGCAGAGATCAGTGCAGTTAATTCAGTTAAATATCCAAGTGGAGTTTAATGAAACATGGCAGTGATGATAGCTAGACGTCTTTAATCCTACATGCAGAAATAATGCTTCACTTACCAGGATAAAAAGTTTGAGGAGATTCCGACTTTCATGTGGTTCCAGATGTAGCACTTACAGCTTTTCTCTGAAAGTGTGATTGTATGCTGCTCAGTTGCACACAGAATGAGGAGGAGCGTTCCTGTGGAAAGTACTAGGACATTCTTGCATGAAAAAATGAGTAGTGCAAAATAATATAAAAAGTAGCAGGACATGTAAGGATAAATGTGTGCAAGTCCAGTATCTGCATAATTAAACGTACTGGGGGCAGTGGGAGAGGGAAAGGGTGTTCTGCTGTAAATGCAGTTGACATTTTTCTGTTAAGTTTCGTTTTCTGCCAAGGTTTTCTATACTGAAAAATACTTGAGGAAAAATAAATCAAGCATTGGATATGCCCAAAAAAAAAAAAAAAAAAAAACCAAACAGAAAAATGGGAAATTTTAAAGAATGTGAATGTCGTATTGTATGTTTGTTGGCCACTGTCTATCAGTGTGAGTAGTGTTTGTGAAGTATTTTGCTATAAGGAAAAAATGTGGTTATTCCATATGGATTGGCATGTATATGCTCAAACCCTTTCTATAAATATTTGAATTAAAGGACACCAGATGTTGCACAGAAGCTGCTGCTGCTTTCTGAACTTAATGGTGTATTCTTTCAAAACCCACAGGAAGTAGCTGAGGGAAAAAGTGTATTAATTAACTTCAGAAATAGATTTTCCAGCTATAGAAAAATCTCCAAAGAAAATAGCATTTGATCTTCAGAAATGTGAGCTTGCTGTCCCAGGAATCTGGTGGCAGCGTGCAGCACTGTCACATGGAGAACAAAATTCAGATTTCAAGTTCTCAGAGCTAGGCAAGCCTGAAAGTGGGCCAGTCTGTAGCCCTTGGAAATGGACCCATCTTTTGACCCGTCTCCTCTGGCTGGTGTTCGTAGTCCTGTAGACAGTCTACAGGAAAAAAAAAAAAAAATCCAGTTTTCCTTAACCTGAAGAAACAACGTCGTACTAGCAGAGACTCAAGGAGAAAGTAAAGTACTAGAATTCCCAGGTGCTCTGCATTTCAAACATGAAATATGAGCAGTCATACCCAGAGTATATTTTGGAAGTTGTAGAGCTACAGCAAAGAAAGGCTAATGGGATTTGCTTTGCATTGGTTGAGGAACAAGAATTACGTTTTGCACACCAATTAAATGTTTCTGCATTTAGAAGTACTGGCTCTGCTGTAGCTGTAGTGTCTTCTTCTGCTCTCCTTCCTCCAGATCAAAGCACTGAAAGTGACTCCTGCACTAGTAATTGCCATGAAGCGTCCCATCTTTCTTTGCACAATGAATACCTAACTGTTTATACTAAGTGGCATAATTCTGCTGGAAGAAAACATGCGTACAAGCAAGATTCTCCACTGAGCTCTCTTATGTCAAGCAAATCTCATACTTTAAACTTGCATCACTGATGTGTTAGATAGTGTTTGCGTCATGGTTTGACCCCAGCCAGCAGCTAAGCACTCAGCACCTGCCCGCTTACCCCACCCCTGCAGGATGGGGATAGCATCTGAAGAGCAAAAGTGAGAAAAACTCATGGCTTTAGCTAAAGACAGTTCGATAAGTGAAGCAGAGCTCTATGTGCAAGCAAAGGAGAATAAGGAATTTATTCACTACTTCCCATTGGCAGGCAGATGTTTAGCCACATCCCATAAAGCAGGGCTTCATTTTGTGTAACGATTACTTGGGAGGACAAAGGCTGTAACCACAAACGTCCCTCCCTTCCATTTCCTTTCCTTGAGCTTTTATTGCTGAGCACGTCTTGATATGGAATGGAGTATCTTTTTGGTCAGTTTGGATCAGTTGTCCCAGGTGTGTTTCTTTCCCGACCTCTTGCCCACTCCCTGCCAGCTTGTTGGGAGGACAGAGTGAGAAACAGATGGCCTCGATGCTGCACAAACACTGCTTGGCAATAACTAACACACTGGTGTGTTGCCAACTCTGAAATGTTTTAGTCACAAACACAAAGCACAGCACTCTTGTCTGCTATGGAGAAAGTTAACTCCATCCCTGGGCAGAGCCAGTGCAATCTCCACCCCGTGTTCCCTACCATTGATGTACCTGTGACTCAGGCTCCATCTGATGCAGCGGTCACTCAGGACAGGAGGAGCAACGTCTTGTGTTGAGTTGTTGGGCGGCAAAACCAGCTCAGGTTGGATCACAAGGCACTTGCCTGGTGCTTTACAAGGCTCATCATCTGTTGGTTTGGGTGGCTCCTGCTGTAGCACTTCCTGTAGCATATAGCTCTAATCACAGGTCGCAATTTAAACATACATCCAATACAGTACCGCTAGGAGGAAGAAATATCTTTTCTCCTTTGTCCCAAAGAATTCCACTGCAGGCTTTAAGAAATCTTCCTG